CCCCCCCCCCCCCCTGCCCCTTACAGTGGAATTTGTGGTTGCATGATGTGTTCTTGACGATGGGGCAGCCGTCAGCCACCGGCAGCTTCTTGGGCCCCTCCCCGCTGCCCACCGTCACCAGCGTCAACCCGGACGCCATCGCGCCTGCCGCACCCCCGTCGTCGCCGCCCTGGGGGCACCGCAGACACACCGCCTCCAACGGCTGACGACAGAACCCACAACGGTCATCACTACCAGCAACTGATGAGGGGGAGGGACCACACACACAGCCATCCCGGTGTGTGGGTCAATCTTCATGTGTCGTCTTGTGTGGCCGTCCTTACAGTCAGTGCGATTGACTAGGTCCGCCTCGCCAAATCGATAGGCCATCTTGGCCCCCACCGCCCACCGACAGTCGCCGTCACGGTCCCCACACGCTCCGAACTCACGCACGTTGGACCGCACGATGTCGACGGTCTTCTTGTTCTTGCGCGTGGGTCTGGCAGCGGCGGCCGCCGGGATGTCCTGCAGGGCCAGCTCCTCCTCCAGGATCTGCTGCCTCAACTCGTCCACCGTGGCCTTGCTGGACACACTGATGGTGTTGGTGCGGTCGAGGGTGGCGTACGTGAACGACACCTGACACACACAAATGGACACACACAGAATGAGCTCTGCCGCCTGTCGTATGGTGTGTTGGGTGCACCTCTGTTTCCTCCTCGTCTGTTTCCATTTTGACGATCTCTGGCCCCTTCCCCTCCCCCACACCAACACCCTCGCCCGCATCACCAGCCGCAGCCGCACCACCACCACCACCAGCAGCGGCCGCAGCAGCTGGTGCCGCTTTGAGCTGCTTGGCCTTGTGCCCTGCCTCTTGGTGGCTGTTGTCATCTCCTTGGTCTGCACGGTCGGTCTCGTGGGGCCGCTTCTGCCCGCGGGGGAGGGGTGCCGCTGAGGCGGCAGCCGCAGCTGGTGGTGGGGCGGGGGGCGGGACGAATGCCGGAACGGCAACGAACTCATCACCATCCTCGCTGCAAGAGGGGAACAGAGAAGAATGGGCGGCGTGTGCGTTTTGCTGTTGTGCTGTTCTCGTCACCATGCTTCTCTGATGTTGATGTCGGCATCGAAGGTGTCGCCGTTGACAAGCAGGTGCTCGACGACCAGCCGCTGGGTGCGATTGGCCTGAAAGGCGGGGTTGGTCGCAATCTTCGAGTTGACCTGCTCCAACCAAACCACAGCAGTGAGTCGCCACACACAAATCAACAAGCAGATGAACACATCAAATTGTGATGGCCGTCCCTGTGGTCGGTCACTCACTTTGTTCAGCACATCCGCCGCTGTGGTCTCATCGTTGACAGTGACGACGACCCTCCGGCCGCCCTCCTCGACGGCAACACCAACAAAGTTCTTGGTGTAGGGCATTGCGTTGCGGAAGGTCACACAATTCTATCCATTGCGGTTCGCTGGAAACGGAGCTCAGATCAATGCCATTCGAAGGCGCTCAGATGCAGGTGTAAGTCAATTGATTGTGATTGCTCCCTGTGCGAGCGTGGGGCTTAGGGTTAGGGTTGGGGTCAAGGGTTCCGACGTCAACAGGGGGAAAGATGAAAAGAAGCAGAAGCACGACAAACGTCAGCGGCAAGGTAAGAATCCGAGGCAAAACGGAGCGAGAAGAGGATGCCGATTCACAGGTGCGTGCAGGTGCCGCTGAACCGACAACTCAAGGAAGAGCTGTTGCGTTCGGTCGGGTTCATTCCTGCATCCCACTCCAAGGTCAGTCGACCGCATCTGCTTCATTTCACTGTCCATTTGCACTGCGGTTGCGTCTCCCCCAGCTGCCGCCAGAGGTGAGGAGACTGCTGTTCTTCACCACCAGCACCGCCACCCAGTTCCCGGGGCTGGATCCCGTCGCTAAGGCCGGCTACAGGGGCAAGAGCTGCACGGATATCCATGACTACAAACTGAAGTGGAGGGGCAGCAAGAATGTGGCGCCTTTCTGGGCGAGGAATATGTGTCGGTACGCCATGGACTACACGGAGCTGCCACTGGATGGCGTGGCCGTCAACAAGGTAACTGGGGAGACAGACAGGGAGGGAACACAGACAGGCGGTCAACCATCGGATGGATGGAGGGTGACTGGCGCTGCAGGAGCTGGCACAGATTTTTGCTCCGCCCAAGTCCAATCCGATGCATCGCAGAGACAAATACAAGCTTGATGTAAGTACATACCATCGACATGGTGCAATGAAAAAGCCACGGCAGAAAGACGATGGCGCCTTTGGAGACTGGCTGGGGTGTCTACTCTACCATTTGCGGTTTCAGGAGCGGACGACTCATCGCGCTGCCTACACACCCTATGTCTCGTTCAGACCACCAGGTCAGCAGGGGACACGCACCCGTGCATGGATTGCGTCAATCCGCCGTGTGTGCAGAGTCCTATAAGCCGATCCAGGAAAAACACGTGAGTGACGACGCCCACCTGATGCGGCTCATATCGGAGACACACGAGACGTACAGGCCCCTCCCTCTGCGAGACATACAGTAGGCCCCTTCGTGTGTCAGCTGCATCATCGCCTGCCCTGTATGTGTGTGGCGTTCAGTGGTGAGTCGATGCGGCCGATATACATCCCCAGCGCGACAGGATTGAGATTCGAGGGCACGCCGCACTACACAGAGGTATGCATGTAAGACTGGTTGAAGAACCAGACCGACATATTTGCGCGTATGTGCATGCAGGAGTTCACCTCTGCCACCCGATGGACCCCGCGGCCGAGGACCAACATGGGCAAAGAGCGACACAAGGACAACTCAGGTAATCCATCTCACACACACAGTGTCATCAAGAAACGGCAGACACGTATGCCGGTCCCCCTGTCTGTTTGCAGCTCGTGTGATGGCAGGGACAATCCCGAACGAGCAGAGGTGAGCCAGTCGGGCGGCGAGCAATGGAGGGAGGCCCATGCCTGAATCGGTGTTGAGTTGGCTGGCAACTTGTCCTTCAGGAACAAAATGCTGTGGGATGACATCAACCAGCGGCAAATGGAGCGGGCCAAATCGCAGCCTGTATTCCAGCTCGTAGACTGGAAGGTAGGTAACCAACACCGTCCATCCATCTATCTGGCTTCCTCTCTAATGCATCCTTTCCCGTGTGTTCCTCTTTTCCTCGTTTGTGCGCGTGCCTCCGCTTTGCAGTGGCTCTTGGGTAAGTAAATAAGCACTAGCCTCGACCCTTGCATGGCATGAATGTCTCTTTCCGCTTTCGTCTCCCCCAGAGCATCCAGACGTCGACCCTCTGGATGAGTCTTTCGAGGAGGCGTGGAAAAGTGGCAGGATCGACACGGCCACAGGAGCCACCAAGACCGAATGCGAGGCTGCTGAAGACAAGAGGAGCCAGGCGGCCCCCGCTGAAGCCCCCAAGACAGCCGACGAGACACAGCCGGAGAAGGAGCAGGCAACGGAGGAACCAGCCGCTGGCGAGGAGAAGAAGGAGGCATCCCCTGATACGGCGGGAGAGGAGGCCGAGGCGGGACCTTCCAACCCCTTCGCCATCGCACTATGCAACGGGCGGCTGTGCTGTGTCCCGCTGGCAGACTACAAGGACCTCATCCGGTCAGGTGACATCCAGCCAGTCCCCTTCGAGATGCTGCCCCACGCAGCCGTCGGCCCTCCCCCCTCCCGGCCCTCTACTGGGGCGTCACACATCCACTGGCTGCCCACACCCCCACGCACAGCTTCATCAAGGTATGCATCGTGTCATCGGCTGCCGGCCAGGCAGGCCAGGCCAAACAGGACCAGCGTGCCTGGAAGGACGAGGCCCGGGACGGCACAGCAGCACTTGGTGAATGCTTGCATGAGGAAGGGCATTATTCCACCTGGGAAGGAAGGTACGGAGGGCGGGAATGAGCTGCCGAGAATTCACAACAAGAAAAGTGGTGCTCGTGTGGTGTGAGGGGGGAGGGGAGTAGTGGGGCGACTGTTGTCTGGTGCTGAATGAAGCATGCTTGGGACCGACCGAGGTCACTTCATACTTGTACATAACCTATACGATAGAAAGAAATGTCCGTCTCTCACCCATACGGCATGGCACACACAGACGGACAGACATGCAGCATGCCAAAAACTCATCCATCCCCTCCCCTCCCTCACCCCAGTATACTCTCTGTCTGTCGATCTGTCTATCGGGCGAGCATTGTATACATCCCTAGTTACACATACATACATTTGCCCGATTCGATTTATGCACCACACAACATGCACTCAGCGGCGAATAGACAGACCACAAGCTAGTCAGTCAGTCGTAGGGCACATCGAGCCAGATCTGTTTCTCATCGACGTCCTTCTTCTCATGAACGAACGACAGGTAGTGCTCCCTCTCTAGGTCAACCATCTCGAGGATCCCACACTTCTCGGGGTCGTGACACCCGGCGGGGAAAAACACCAACGGGGTGTCCTGCTTGGGCGCAGGAACCTGCAGACACCCAGCCAGACAGACAACCCAACCAGGGAGAGAGGGAGAGAGGTACGCGACCGATAGACAGACAGACTTTCTTCTCTGTTCGTTGCATTTACCCTGTAGATGTTGTCAAGTTTCACTTCGGGGTCGACAAAGGTCATGAGGGCGCGGATGAGGTTGTTGTGCGCCACCACCACAACGTCCTCGCCCCTCTCGAGCCGCGCACGGAACTCATCGTTCCACATAGGCGACACTCGGTCTTGCACATCCTTCAGACTCTCGTGGCCATTCGGCACAAATGGCTCGCCACCTGCACAGACATAGTGCGTCGTCTCATTCGTGAACCCCTGTGACGTCTCCTTCACCGACCGTATGGCGGTTTGGCGAATGCGCCCTTGCGGCATTCCTCGAGCAACTCCGCGCCGAATCGCTCCACATTGTCAGACTTCAGGTGGCCGGAGAAGGCACCGTAGTGACGCTCGCGCAGACGGTTGTCGTACTTGACACGCTGAGAGATCGGAGTGAAAGAGAGAGAGAGAGAGAGAGAGAGAAGAGAAGAAGCAAGATGTGGCAGCTTTGCATCAGTGCGGCATACGAGTGGGAAGTCGACGGCGTCCTCTCCGTACTCGACTCTCCGTTGAGTCCGCAGCACCTCCATCACGTACTCAGTCGTCTGCCGTGCACGCATCTGGGAAGGCGACACGGACGAACAGACCGACAAGGCAGTGAGAACCGACTTTGGGGAATTTGCGTGTGCATTAGGTTTTTACCTGTGTAGAGCAGAAGATGACATCCGTTTCGACCATTGGTCTCAGCTTGAGCAGCTTGAGTGCACTGCGGCGTGCGTCGGTGTGGCCTGTGTCATGCAAAGGGGGATCCGCCCAGCCCTGCAAACAAAACATGTCACTCACCACTTCAGGGGCACGCCCCGAGCACAGCACTACTGCTTGACCTGACCTGTGTGCGGCCCTGCAGCACCGCACCGCAAATAGGGATTTATTGCGCATGTGATTGGATTGTGTAGATCATCTCCCTCTGGTTGGCTAACCTGGACGTTCCAGGTGGATCTGCCGTGCCTGATGAGTATCAGCCGTGGGCTGGTCCCCACCGGGGCACTCATCATCGGGTTGGGAATGATGTTGTAGTCGGGGCTGTCATACGCTGATAGATATCAGCACACACACAGTGTGACACATGACTTAACCAGCCATTCGATGCCATGCTTGCCTTCCTTGCATACATACATACATACTCCATAAATGCACACACATCCCATCCCATCTATCGAGCTGACTGACTGGCCGCTTAGCTTACTTACGTGAGTAGAAGTGCGCATAGTGGTCTATCTGCTCGAGGTAGTCTTTCATTCTCGCCTCGCTGTCCTCATCAACGGCTGTCGACGGCGGGGCCGGCGGGGCGGGCAGCGTCGCCGACGATGATGGTTCTGCAGCTAGCGGTTGACAGCGCGTCATAGCGGGCCGGGGGAGGATGAACGAGATGCGATGGTGCGGCAGGCCTGTTGTGCAAGAGATCTCAAAACAAAGGATCAGTGCTGCGTAGGCAGCCTTGACTACACACAACACAGATGCCATCGCACGTGGCCATCCGAGGCAGATCTGTCGCTTGAAGCTCGCACTTTTGAGCTCGCTTCTTGCGACCTTCTTCTCCCCTCCTTAGCCAAAGCGTTGGAGATCTTTCGGCGTTGAGGCGTGTCGTCGACTACTTCCGAGGATGAACGACGAGGATGCTGAGCTCGAACGCGCCATTCGGCTGTCACTGCAGGAGGCCAACCAGCAGTAAGCAGTCGACATAATGACAAGGGGAAGAGAGCCGGTGTCACTCACCACTTGCCGTTTTGTGTTTTTCTTTCTCATAAATCAGGCAGGTGGTCGAGCAGCAGGGCACGGAAGATGAGATGCTGCAGCGGGCAATACAGCTCTCACTACAAACAGGTCAGCCATTGTGATACATACAACCGCGATATGAGATCTCTTGCCGACCAACGACCTTCACTCGCGACCCTGTTCCTCTCCCCCGTGTGTTGTGTGTGCAGCTGAGTCAGAGTCCTCCTCCAAGGCCGCCCCACCAGGCGCACCTCAGCCACCACAGCAGCAGCAGGCCAGCCAGCCATCGTCATCCGCCCAGCCAGCAGCCCCGACGGACATCAACTTCGACGCCATTCTTGCGAGTGCCACTGGGTCACAGCAGCAGCCATCTTTGACCGACAAGTCCCCTGACGACACCCTGGTGCCCTTCCAGCAGGTGGTTGAGCAGGCCAGGGGCGGCTCAGAGGACGATGCCGGTGCGGCTGTGAAGCGGGCCAAGACGACCGATAGCGCCCAGGATGACCGAGGGAGGGCGGGGTCGGCTGCCACCGGTGAGGTGCCTGAGGGGATGGAGAGGCTGACGGACCAACAGCTGGTGGAGGTCATGAAGGTGGTCCTTGGGGAGGGAGCCAACAACCCACAGCTCGACGACGTCATCAGATGGTATGTATGTACCTTACGTACGTATGCACCAAGAGGCACATACCTGACATACGCCTGGCGGCCATTTGTTTGTACGTGTCTGTCTGTCTGTGTCTACAGGCTGGGTCAGGGTTTGGAGTTCAGCAGTGAGGAGCGGACTCTGTGGGGACTCAAGCAGAAGCAGGGCGGCCCATGTGGCGTACTCGCACCTCTGCAGTGCTTCATACTCAAGCAGATCCTGTTTAGCCACGGCCAGCAGCACCAGCCACCATCGTCAGCAGCAGCAGCAGCAGCAGCAGCATCAGGCGATGCGAGCAGCGACCACCCCATCAGTTTGTCGAGCCACCCGCGGCTCGAGAGCGACAGGTGGGGTCACCTGATCGAGGCCATCGCGCAGCTCATCTACCAGGCCACGTCCAAGAGCGCCTACAGGGTGGTCATGCTGCAGGGCCCCAAAGGCCAAGACACGGAACAAATGCAGGCGGTGAGCAGGGCGACGGACGGACGTATCGGTGCCTCTGTGTGACGGTGTGTGTGTGTCATGGATATCAGATGGTGGCGGCTTCGAGAGAGGGCGGCGGGAGCGACCAGCTTGACGTGTCCATCATCATGGCTGGCGCAAAGGCATGGTAGGTAGATCACACAACACAATACAACAGGGCTTTCTTCGCTCCGTACTGTCCATGTGTGGACGTCCACATTCGTTCTGGTTCATCTCTGTGCTGTGCTGTGATTGCCTGCAGGGTAGCCTCCTTTACGAGGGTTCAGGATGTGATGGCCTTCTACCACAAGCATCAGGACACCCTGCTGCGCCCCGCCCCCTCAGTGCTGGCACTGGTGCTATCACTCGTTCTCACCAGGACCATAGAGGAGGTGAAATGAACACAACACAACACAACACAACATACATGCGCAACAACGGCAAACAAGAGAATCCATCCACCCTGGCACATCTGCCTCCCGTCACATGATTGATTGATGCGTCAGGTAAAGGGTGACATGGACGATGCGACAGTCCCGCTGGTCGGCAGATTCGGACACTGCTCACAGGTGGGGGGGTGGTTACAAGGACAGACAGACACGGACTTGGGAGATTTGACGGGCCTTCTGGGCCTTCTGTCTGTCTGTCTGTCTGTCTGTCTGCAGGAGCTGGTGAATTTGTTGCTGATCGGCAAGGCCACTTCCAACTGCTTCGATGGCCAGAAGTTCCTGGGGGACGATCCCAGCACCGGCATGCTCCTCAAGTAAACAAACCACACAGACAGACCACCGTCACGCAGCACAGAGCACACGGCCCGGCCTGAGTGTGTGCAATGCATACGTCACATGCCCCTCCCTCTGCAGGGGTGTGGATCGCGAGCCGTTGGTTGGTTACCTGAGTGAGGTGGAGGCGATGCGTTACCTGGAGGTGGGTGTGCACTACAAGCACCCCATCCACCCCCTGTGGGTGCTGGGCTCCCCCAACCACTACACCACCCTCTTCTCACTCGACCCGACCGTCTCAAAGCTACCGCCAAACGTCAAGATGCAAAACGTGGGTGGGCCAGGCCAGCCAGGGAGGGACCTCACTCTCACCTCACCATGCATGTGTAGTCAGATGAGATGAGTGTCACGCACCCCGCCCATCCGCGTGTGTCGTGTCGTGTGGTGTGGTGTGGTGTGTGTCGATCAGGATGCGACTCAGGCGTTTCGTCAGTTCGACCCCGAGCAGTTTGGGTTCGTCAAGAGCGACAACCTCTTCGCACTTCTCACCGCTGCAAGTAAGTACAGAAGGCCTGGATGTGATGTGGGGTGGGCAGGGCAGGGCAGGGCATAGCATGGGTGTGTTAATTGTATGTATCATGATGTGGGTTGAGAGAGATGTCCTGTCTGTCCGGTGGGTGTTGGTGTGTCGTGTCTGTCAGATCTGGTGCAGCACTTCGAGGAGGCCAAGAAGCACGTAGTCCAAAACACACAGGTGGATGTCGAGATGGATGGATGGAGGGGACGACGGGGCGGGACACCCCACCTCACCATGAATATTTGTTGATTGTGTCCATGTATGTATACGGTTGTGGGTGCGGTGGGTGCAGGACGGCAGCATCATTCTGTGGCATGACTTCCTGGAGTTCTTCCGAACCAAACGCGTCATGGAGAGGGCACAACAAGGTCAGCCAGTGCACTCCCACACACTACAAGACACTACACTACACTACAACATGCTACCAGACGGCATGGATGCCGTTTTTTCCCTGTGTGTGTGACCTCAGCTGGCGGCGCGTCTGCTGTCAGCGACGCCGTTCCGCCCCGCAAGATGACACTCTATCACTTCGACGGACAAGACCCACCAGGTAGGGTACCTGCCTACATGGACACACCCACGCCGCCCACTCACATTCCTGACCTATCTATCGTCCTCCTCCTTCCCGTGTATGTTTCCACCTGCCCTGCAGGTCCGTCTCTCCATCGGTTTCTGGTAGAGTTGAGTGACATCGACCAGACCTTCGCACAGGGCGACCGGTACGAGGTGACGCTCGAGGCGGCGCTGCAGACTCGCTGGCCCAACTGTCTCATCACCGAGTGTGACGCCAGCGTGGCGGCGTTCGCATCCAGTGAGATGGAGAGCCGCATGAGGAGTGGCGGGGGTGGGCAGGGGGGTGGCGAGCCTGCAGGGGGGCCAGCGGCTGGGGGGTAGGGTAGGCAGTGTGGTGTGCTGTGGTGTGCTGTAGTGTCGTAATTGACACGGTGAGTGAGGGTGTGCGGACGCGACTCGTCCATCTGGACACGTCGATGGGTTAGATACATTACAGCACATATGAATGAATGGCCATATGGCCATCCATCGTATCGTGTGAGTGAGGCATTCTGAGATGTTCATCATGCAAGACATGCAATGCAATGCATGCCAGTCAACCAACCACTGCAACAACGCAGGGGTCCCTCCCTCCCTGTTAGTCCGTCCGTCAGTCAGCCATCTGAGGCAGGAAGAGACACACAGGGAGGGATACAGACAGACAGACAGACACACCGCCCCCTGCCACCATGCATGCCAGCAGCCAGCCGGCCGGCCACATTCCGCACCCCCCCGGACTGGACACAACCAATGGATGCATCCACTCATTGCAAGCACAGGGCAGAAAGGCCCTGCTTGCTGGTCTGTCTTCTCTCCCCTTCCCCAATCGCCCCCTCCCCCTCTAATGGCCACGCTGTCGGTCTCCACTTTCTGTGTCTGTCTGTCTGTCTGGCCGTGTCGCGAAAGTGTAATTAGAACTTCCACCGATTGCTGCACTCGAGGCACGTCACAAAACTGCCACACACGCAACACACCACGACACACAGATAGCTTAAGCAACGGCAATGCAATGCAATGCAGCCCGAGCAGCTATCCTAGCTGCTCGGCAGAGCAGCTATCCTAGCTGCTCGGGAGTGAGCGCGGGTACATGTATGGTATGGATGGTGTGTGTGGTTTACTTACGTGGTCATGGGTTCGTCAGAGGATCGTGTCTGCAGCTGGAAGAAGGTGGTCCGTCGCTTCTTGCACTTGAAGCACTGGAACGTCCCGCTCGCCTGCACCAGGTTCCGCATGTGCCAGTCGCTCTCAGCCGCCTCGGCCGCCTCCTGAAAGTCACACACACACACACATAGGTGGTGTGGTGGTTTGGTTTGGTGTGTGGTTTGCATCCATTTATTTCAGTTGACCTGTCTGTGTTTGTCCCGTTCGGCCTTTTTGTCGTTAGAAGCCATGTCCTGCGATGACATCCTGGCCAGCTTCTCGGGCGTGATGTCGCCGTACAAGACACGCGCATTCAACTCGAAGTTCTTGACGTCAGCAAAGTTGAAGCTGAATGAAGAAAACTCACAACTTGTGAGTGATGCATCCCTCCCTCCCTCTGCGTGTGTGTGGGTGGTGGCATGGCGTACTTGATGACTTTGAGTTGGTTGAGGTATGGCTTCTGTGCCCTGGCGGCCTCCTCGCGATGGCTGTCGAGTTTGCGCATGAGCTCGTCGTGTTTGGGATTGGGTGCGATGGCATTGGCGTGCAGCTGCTGCATGGCACTGAGCTCCTGCTGCAGCCGCTCGATCTCCTGGCACTGGAAAAAGCGCTCATACACACACCGCTCGATGGACGCTGTTGGCAGTCACACACACAGACACAGACACAGACACACATGCAGCGGGAGGGTGGGGGGGGGAACCGAAGCCTCCCGCCGTCCAATCTCTCTGTCCATTGGTTGCCTTAGTTACCGGCTACTTGTGCGGCCTCTTCGCGTGTGCCACTTCTGACGTGCTCAGGACAGCCCTCCCACAACGCCTTCCACAACTTGGCGCGCGCCTGCACGCCAACTCACACAGACACTCGATGCTTTCTGGGCGTCTCGTATGTCTGTGTCGACTTGCTCACTCACCTTGTCCCTGTCGTGCTGTCCGCACCGCTCGCCAGGGTACTCGTTGAAGGCGTCGCCGATGCCGCCGCTCGATGCTGAGCTGGGCTGGCTCCGCTGCCGGTCGGGCTGCCTGGGGGGAACGGGGACCCCATTGGGGAGAGGCTGGTGGTTGGGCGACGGAGAGGAATCCGACAGACCCGAAGGCGAGAGGGCCGGGCCACCACCAGCAGCAGCAGCTACTGCTACTGCACTCGCGGCACCCTTAGCTACTGCACTCGCGCCGCTGCTCTTGCCTGAGTGAACAACCAACCAAGCAACCAACCAACACAAACATGGCAGACACATGGCTGGAGCGAAGGCGCACACGCTACGCGACTGGCTGATTGTCACTGACTGTCCCTCCCAGCCAGCCACCCCACCTGCGTCAGCGACTTTCTTCCAGGCGACGACCAGCTTGGCGCTGAGTCGTTTGACGTCCGGGTCATGGTGCTGCTTGAGTGCATTGACCGTCTTGCCTATCTTTGTGGTCCGGAGGGTGGCGAGGGTCATGTTGATCTTCTCCAGCTGACGCAGCACCGCCAGCAGATCAGCGGTATCCAGTGGCTTGGACTTGTCCTCCAGCCGCTTCTTGGCACGTAACGCGTCCTCCAGCTCCAGATCAGCCATCGCCACCGACTGCTGTGGCCCACCAGAGGGGGAGGGGAGGGAATGGACGGAAACGCGGCGAAGAAAGAAATGTCCAACAAACTCTGTAGGCTACAAAGCTGTTTCTTCGCCTGCCATTCCTCTTTTCTGCTTCTCGTGCGAGCTACGAGGTGACATGCCTCTCCCAAGACAGTGAGTGTTCTGCTTGGTTGCACAACTGCGCAGCACTCATGGACACAGTCACGGTCAGGCTGGTCTGTTAAAAGCCTCGCTCGCTGGGCAAATAGACACACTCATCGTACCTACGGTCACTCCAATCCGCCCATCGGCCACACCATCAGACAGACAGACCAATCAACCGACCGACCCAGAAAACCCGTGCGAGAATGGACGCACACCACACCGGCCCCATTCAGTCATGATGGATGCGAAAATGTGTGTGACGGCACGGCCGGCTAGCCGCCCCGTCTGTCTACACAGTCGGTCCTTTGTGTGTCGGCTGACAGAGTGATTGGATTGGCTCATCCAGTCTTGCTGCTGGCTCCCCCGCCGGTCCCGCCCTGCGGTGGCAGCAGCTTCGCGATCTTCAACAACTGAAGGCACGCACACACACACACACACACAAACTCTCCACACCCGAGATCCATCTCCACCACCTACTCACGCCAACAGTGTTCGTTCCATGGCTGCCCTGCCCACCCCCAAGCCCTTCACCTTGAGTAGGTCGGTGCTGCTTTGGTTGTGTCCGTTGATCTGTTTGGCCACGTCGCTGCCGGCGATGCTCTGCGCCAAGACGGCAGGCGGCACGGGGGGAGGCAGCTTGGGAACCTTGCCCTCCGCAAACAACTTGGACAAGGCTGCGAACTGGGCGAATGGCGGGGCGGGAGGGCCACTGCCGCCTGTGTTGGTGCTCTTGCCAGCAGCTGACCGGGCCCGGGACTGCTCCACACCAGGTGGCGCGGGGTCATCGGAGCCTGACACGGAATAAAGTACCAATGGCAATCAATGCGATGCGGCTGCCGACAGCACAGTAAGTACATGTGGATGGGCAGGGCAGCTTGCTTTGCTCACCCGGTGTTGGAGACGGCGAGGGGCCCATGATTTCCTCCTCGTCTCCCTCGTCCTCGTCACCGCCACTCTTGCTCAAGGCCGCTGCCAGCCGGGCTATCTTGCTCTCGTCTGGCATCGTATACGACGGAGCGGCGGCCGGCTTGCTGCTGGGAGGAGCCATCTCCCTCTCAGGATAGTACGAGCGACGGCGCCCAGTTGACGCACCCGAGTCGGTACGACGCAGCGGCGCGTGATGGGCTGAGGGCGGTGGAATCAATACAGGTGGAGGGAAGTGGGGCTGGGACGGCTGGGGGGGCGGGTAGGGCCCCTGCTGCTGCTGGTAGACTTGCTGGAGGTTGGGAAGGTTGCGCGGCACCCCTCGGTGGTGTCTGTTCCACGATGAGGGCCCTTGGTCACCATGCTGCCGCGTGTGGCGACCGCCTCGGGGGCCGTAGCTCTCACGCCTGCCCCTGAGGACACATCACATACCCACACATGCATGTTAGCCCGGCGGGAGTGTGGTCACACTCACCTTCCATATGGGCGCTTGTCCTCTGGAGGGGGTGGAGGGGGAGGCGGTGGTGGGGGCGGGGGAGGGGGAGGTGGTGGCTGTCCCCTCACTGATGGCGACACGGCGTCAGGCGCCACTCGGTGGGAGACGGCTGAGTACAGCCCGGGAATGCGGGATGGGGGTGCATTGACAGGACTCACAGAAGGCGATACGGCCGCCTTGCTTGCCGCAACAGCGATGACCGCCGCGGCGGCTGCAGCAGCAGCCTGTCGCTGCTGTTGCTGTTTCTGCTGCTGCTGTTGGGCCAGCTGCTGCACCAGACTGGCGATCTCCTGGGTCGGAGAGGGAGCGAGGGCCACCGAGACATCTGCACACACAGACAGATATATGACAAAAGCATCAATGAATGAATGAGGCCGGAATGCCGAGACGGCACGTGTGTGTGGGCGGCGTTACCTCTCTGTCTTGATCGGTCGTTGTCGCCCTCGTATGGGGCATGGGAAGGCGAGGACGGCCCACCGCTGTCTTGTGTCCGGCGTCGGTAATCCGATGACCTCGAACGGCTCCTCTCTTTGCTATCACGACGCCTGTCCCACGACCGGTCCCTCTCCCTGCTGTCATACCGCCCCTTGTCTCTCGATCGCCGCCGCATGTCCCTCTCGCGGCTCCTCTCGTCACGATCCCGTCGGCCCCTCGACCTCTCCCTCCTGGGGCTCCGCGAGTAACGCCGGTCGTAGCGGTCTCTGTCGCGAGATTTCGACCGGTCTCGGTCTCTGTGCCGTTTGTCCCATCGGTTGGACGACCCGCGACGGTCACGCTCCCACGGATAAGACGTCCGTGATGCACGTGACTCACGCGACCACGGAAACTGCCGGCGCGGCGAGTCGCGGCCCCGGTCGTCATTAGTGCGGTCTGCATCGCTGGCACGGGAGGTCGATGTGTCCTTGGGTGGCGGCGGGGGCGGGGGAGAGGGCACGCGTGCCGGCTCCTGGTGGTGGCTGGTGGTGGTGGTGGTGGCGGCTGTGGCTGCTACTGCAACGACAGGAGTGGGTTTCTTTTTCTTTTTGCTGTCCTTGTCCTTGCGCTTGATCTGCGGCAGGGAGAAGACCGACTTCTTCTCTGACGAGGGCACGGGAGGCTGAGGGGGTCTCTCCGAGGAGGGCGGGGGCGACGGCCCAGACACACTCATGGTTGATGGATTCTCTGCTGCCGGCTTGGGGGGAGATGATGTTGGCTGGGAGGACGATGGCTGTGACACAGAGGGCTTGGACGAACCTGACACAGAATAAAGAGAGACGCGAGAAGGGCGGGTGACTGTCTTTTCTGTGTGTGTGTGCGTGTGCGTGTGCGTGTGCGCGACCCACCCGATAGTGCCTCTCCCTCGTTGTGTCGGTCTGGACTCTTCTTGAGGCGGTTCTTCTTCTTGACCTTCTTGAGCTTCATGATCTTGACACCACCGTCAGCCTTGGTCTGCTGCTGGCCGTCCACGCTGCCCCTGCTCTCGCGGCCGACCTCTTCCCCTCTCTCCCCCTCCCTCTCCTCCTTTCTCTCGGCCTTCTTGGCCTTCTTGTCTTTGCCGCGGTCGCGCGACAAGGACACAATCCCAATCAAATCTTGGTCGATGGTATCGGCCTGCTCTCGCTGCTGTTGCTGCTGTAGGTCGCGCTCCTTCTTGACCCCCTTGCTGAGGGTGAACCCCCGGATGACCTCATCGTCGTCGTCGATGTCATCATCCACAGACTTGATCACTCGACGACCCGATGACGAGGCCGACACGCCCACATCGCCCGCGCGCATCCTCTTAGCCGCACTCTCCGGTCCCCCTGCTGCAGCAGCAGCGTCTTCCTGGCTCTCCTTCCGCTCATCGTTCTCGTTGGAGAGACTCCGCTTGACCGGCGCCTTGGACGGTTTGAACACAGAGACTGCGGGAACAGGCGGGAGTGCCGGCGCAGCTGATGCGACCTTGCTCTGGCGGCTGGGCGGCCGGCCAGACAGCACGGGTGAGTTGACGGCTGACGGCTCCTGGTTGTCGCTTGGAGGGCCCTCGAGGGCCACTGGTGGTGGTGGGGCAGCCATGGCCCCGCTGTGTGTGAAGAGTGTGAGGTCCGAGGGAGGGCCATTGGGGAGCGCGTTGAGGCCCACGTGGGTCAGTGAGACAGGCAGACGGTCCGCACGAAGCAAACTCAGGAACTCTGCATCGACAACATTCATCGCACGCAACAGACGGGAGCACCAGATGTCGCGTCGTCACCAGACGTATGTATCCAGCTGCCTCCCTCCCTCCCAGACACACAGCCATCAGCTCCTCCCCCCTCTCTCTCGTCTCACCAGGCATGTCAGCGGGTGCAATCCTCTGGTTTCTCCCCGGCAGCACGATGGCCTCTCCGGCCCGCAGTCTGAGGATCTGGTGGGTGATGTGCGCTTGCTGCAGCTGCTGCAGATCGCTCTCGATGGCCTCCAGGTCATCATAGCTCCCATCGCACGGATCAATGCTGCGCACACGTGACGCGAGGTAACTCAAAATGTCAGAGAAGTCCTTGAAAGCAATGGACCGACGGGAATGGCCACTGTGGCCTGTGGGAGGGTCCCTTCCAGAGGGCTCCATCGTTAGTTGCTTTCTCCCAAGACGAGAGGTTTAGGGCTTAGGGGTGTAGGGATTAAAGCTCGCATGTGAGAAGACCCCTGGGAGTATGAACGGCGCATCAAAGCGGCGTTCGCATCGTCTGCTGCAGCCTGTGTTTGAGTTGTATCAGGCGTTTCCGAAGCCCGAGCACTGGCAGGGCAAGACGATCACCGCCCGCATCCAACGCAGCGAGGGGGACCCCTCAGATGAACACCCGTGCATGAAGACCCTGTAGGCAGACAGACAGACAGACAGACAGACAGACAGGCAGACACGGACAGACACACATGGCAGGCAGGCCGTGCCGGACCGCTGAAAGGGAGGGCCTACAATGTTTGCTTGTTTTCGTGTGGTCTGTGTTGTTTGTCTTGTTGCACTGCAGGAAGAACTACTTGTACTGCATAAGAGGGTGAGCTGATTGTCGGCAGGCACTGCTGCAGACAGATGCATCCTGCAATATGTATGGGTGTGGCGTGATGCGCCTGTCGTTGTCATCGTCCGTGTGTGTGCAGCCATCGGACTGCTGGTCACGGGAAGAGGATGCTGCAGTGTCGTGTGGAGGCCAGCCTGCACAAACAGTGCCTAGAACAAAACAGAGTCAGTCATCAGCACACGGGAGATACTGCACGCCAGTCGACTGGCCGGCAGTTGATTCGCCTCTGCTCTGCGTGTTTGCAGGAATGGCGGCCTAAGGATCAGATCGAGTACTTGCCCATGCTGGAGCAGTAAGTTTGTCACTGCTGTGGTGATGTCCACTGCTGTTTGTTGTCTGCATCTCCCCTTGATGGATGCTGTGTGTCTCAGCTTCCGCATTTTCAACGAGACGCACTGCTTCAAGTGAGTGGCCACCCTCCCAAAGCAACCACATGGCGACGGCTGGTGTATGGTATGCGTTGTGTGGTTCACAGGTATCCGAGAACCAACCTGCCTGATCTGGGTGTGGGTCGCTCCATGTCGCTGGGGAGCGGACCCCCACAGGCGGCAGAGAGAAAGGCCGGCAGGGACAGGAGGGAGAGAACAAGGAAGAAGTGAGTGTCTGCCTGGTCTTCGGCACCGGCATCGATGCGTCGCTTGCCTGCTGGTAGAGTATCGATGCGATGCACATTTCGTCTTGTGATACGTACGGCTTTGTAGCGAACTTCGCTGTATGGTGGTGTGGTTAGTCTAGCTACTGAGGGCTCATGAGGATTGCTTGTGCGGTCGGTCGGTGCGGACCCAGCAAAGTTCACCAAGGCAACCAGCAAACCAACCAAAGCATAAATGAAGTCAAGTCAGCCCTTTGCTCAGACGAACGAACACGATCGATCATTTGTGGAAAAAAAGTGGACATAGATAGCTCATACATACATCGTACCAAGCACACGACAGCCATCTCATCAACGTCTGTGCATGGGCGTGTGCGTCCTTCGGAGCACCCTTTCTGCCCTCTCATCTCATCCCATTGTTCGTTCCAACCACAGAGAGCAACCGCATCCGACACGTCCCCTTCTAGCTCTCGAATTGCCGGTCTGCAGTGAAGTGCAAATCGATGAAACTGAGAACCCGTTGGAGATGCCGTCACCATGCAGTCGCCGTCAGTGCACAACTCACAGGAAAGTGCGTCAATGCGTTTGCCCCTCCCCTCTCTCTGTGTGTGTACGATCCTTTCCCTCCCTCTGCCGCGCCCTGCGTGCCCGAAGCACCCCTGTTGCTGAGAAAGCCACAGCCTGTCTTATTTGTGTTGTCCTGTCAGCCAGCCAGCCACTCTACTCTACACATACGCCCACCCCCCCCCCTCCCCCACACTACGTGGCATGATAAGTAGCGACGATTGATTAAGACAGACGACCGACCACACTTGAAGTCGGTGATCCATACTCCCACCAAAAAATACGATACGCTGTTCTTTCGATCCCCCTTTATCGTTCTCTCTCCTTCCACCCATCCTTACACACTCCTGCTGGGCCGAAAAATCACCCCGGGTCGGTGCTGGACGGGCCAAAGGCCCATCCCTCCCCTCCCCAAGATGATGCCCTTCCCCCACTCTCATCTCACGTAAGAACGACGACACCACGACGACCCCTTTCCTTGCACGCCACGGTCGAAAAAGGAAGACACTTAGTTAGTTACTTCTGTATGTCTGTCTGTCGTACGTACACGCGTGAGAGGAGAGTTGGACGGAAAAATCAGTGTGCTGCTTTCCTTCCTCTCGCTGAGGACGCTCGCTCGCTCGTCAGTTCAACTTTTCACCTCCCTCGCAGCTGGGCAGAATCTGCCCTCGATCAGGTGCGTGTGTCTTGGTTGGGTGCTCACGTAGGGTGCTGTTGGGGATGCTCAGCCACTGCAGGGACACGACTGGCTGGCCACCGTGTCCCGCAGCAGGCCACCCCCCACAGAACCTTCCGCAAACACCGGCCAGACACGCGCGGAAATCATGACACACGCCCATTTGCGCACACGCCACACATCCACGAGCTCTACCCCTCACCACACACAAACACACAAACACACGAATACACGGACGCACGCACACGCACACACGAAACAGGCAGGCCATTGACAGACACTGCCATCCATTCACTTGACCTCCGTCTTGGTCTTGTGTACGCCGTTGAGGACGCCCTCGACGCCCGTGAGCTCCAGCCTGCCACCTTTGGAAATGTCCTCGGGGAAGTTCTCCGGGTGTGGCTCCGTCTCGTTTGCCCGGGGGCTGGCCCCACGAGAGGGCTGAGGCGATTGGAGGTGGGCCATGGCTGAGCTAGAAGGCGGATGGGGCAGCTTTCCAGACGTCACCGGACCCGCGTGCTGATTGACAGACAGAGGAAGACAGAGTCGTTTTGTGTGAGTAATAAATAGTGTATGGGCACGGCACGGTGTGGAGACAGACGTACCTGCACTTCTGGTGGGCACTGGTCGGCGTATGTCTCGAAGTTCTTGACGAACAGCTGAGACAACTTAGACAGCGCTTTCCTGAGCGCGAGAAGGGAATACTCACGTCCAATCGATTCATCTCCCCTCTTTCTCTCTGTCCGTGTGTGGCCTGTTCTCACATGTATTCGGTCTTGTTGGCCCACGACCTGACACGAGACAAAACAAGCACAGACACACCGTGCATATGTTTCACTGACACTAGCGGCACCGTGTCTCTTTTCCCCCCTGTACCGTGACGGCATGAGGACGTCGTCAGGCACGTTAGGGACGTGCTTGGGCACCGACAAATTGAAGATCTGGGACGTCTGCAACGACACTCACCAACACACGCACATCCCTGTTTTCCACCATCGTTGGCCAACTTGTGCCAGCCGAGGCCTCCCCTGACTGACCTCGTATTCGACGTCCTCGAGTGCCTTGTCGTGTATGGCGTCGATCATGGCGCGTGTGTACCGCAGCTTGATGCGGCTGCCCTTGCCGTACCCACCCCCAACCCAACCCGTGTTGATCAGCCACGCAGCCGCATTGTGCGCCTTCAACTTGTCCGCCTGCTCACACCACTCACACACATGACACATCCATTCACCTCCCTTTCGCTTCCCCGCCCCCCCTCCCTCTCTCTCTCTGTTGGCGTGTGTACCAGCATCTCGGCATAGACGATAGGGTGTCGGACGAGGAATGGCGCGCCGAAGCAGGAAGAGAAAGTGGCTTGTGGTTCGGTAATGCCCTGCTCGGTGCCCGCGACTTTGGCGGTGTATCCGCTGATGAAGTGGTACATGACCTGCTCGGGCGTCAGCCGGGCGATCGGCGGCAACACTCCAAACGCATCACACGTCTGACAAACACACACGGCGACAAAGGCAATCAACAAAATCGAAATCGTTATGTGTTGCCCTGATGCGGTTTGTCCTCCCCTCGCTCACCAGCAGGATGATGTTTGTGGGGTGTGTCTGTGTCACTGCGGGGGTGATGGCATTCGGGATGTGCTGAAGCGGGTAACACGCACGAGTATTCTCTGAACGCATATGCATACACGACCTGAGTGTGGCCAGCCACCCCCCCTCTCCCTCTGCCCAATGCGCCGCGCTGCCTTCATCCCTCACCCACCAGTGACGCCCGTGTCGTCGTAGTCCGGGTTCCTCTGGTCGATGTCGAAGCACACGTTCTCGAGGACGGCACCGAAGCGGATGGCGTCGTAGATCTCAGGCTCCTTCTCGTGGCTCAGCCCGATGCACTTGGCGTAGCACCCGCCCTCAATGTTGAACACACCAGTGTCCGTCCACACGTGCTCGTCGTCACCTATCAAACTCCTGGCCATGACCCACAGAATCACCAGGCACGAACAGCGATGCATGGCGTGTTGTTGGTGTGGAGTGAGTGTATGTCAGTGTGTGTACCTCCGCGGGTCCGCTGAGAGTGTTGTCTTGCCCGTGCCGCTCAGGCCGAAGAACAGCGTCACATCGCCATCCGGACCTGACAAGCCATGGCGTGTTGGCGTAGGTGTGTCCGGCATTCATGGGTGCACCTGTGTGCGTATGCGTGCGCGTACCAACGTTGCATGATGAGTGCAGGGGCAGCTGCCCCATCTTGGGCATGAGATACATCATGAGCGTGAAGACGCCCTTCTTCATCTCACCCGCATACTGCGTACCCAGCAACACCATCTCACCTGACACACACGTAAATGGACACGTCACACGTGAATGAACGCCGACCTCTGATCTTGTTCGTGTCGGTGTGTGTGTGTGTGTGTGTGTGTGCGTGTGTGGTTACCTCTGCCGAAGTGGAGCAGCACGGCCGTTTGCGACGTGATGCCGTCGGCGTATCGGTTGGCGGGGAAACTGCCCGCGTTGTAGATGATGAAGTCGGGCTCGAAGTTCTAAAGACACACACACATACAACACAGACACAGACAAAGCATCGATCATTCATCTGCTCCTCGAGCGGCCCATCTGGCATTTGTTGTCTCACCCACCTTGAGTTCCTCTTTTGTCGGCATGACTAGCATGTTTTGCATGAACAGCGCATGGTACGCCCTCGACGCTATCACACGAATCTACACACACACACACACACACACACAGTGAGCCACCGACGTGCGTCCTCCGTACGTCTGTCCTTCATTCAGCTCACGGACCCTGACGCGGTACTCAGGGTCCCATCCGGCGAATGCATCGACGACGTAGAGCCGCTCCTGCAGGTTGAGGTAGTCGATGGCACGCTCGCGGTTGGTGGCGTACGAGGCCTCGCTCAGCTTGATGTTGACGCGACCCCACCACACGTCATCGCTGCTCGTAGACTCCTCCACCAAACGCTTGTCCTGCGGCGAACGACCGGTCTTCACACCTGCATCACGCAAACACACACGGGCAAATGGCACAGGCAGCGCAGGGCAGGACGGCTGTGTGTGTCGTGCGGGTGTTGTTGCGTCGGACCGGAGCTGCACATGAGTGCCCCTGTGTCAGAGATGTACGAGCCGGCCTCGTACTTGAGTGCCAGCTCGTAGAGGACGGCGGGGCTGGCGTTGTGATATAGCGACTTGACCTGAATGCCGTACTGCGAGATGGAGTGCTCGAACGCATACTCATCCTGTGCACCACACACAGACAAGCAAGCCGTGTGTGGCAAGGAAACACGTGGGTGGAATGGCTGTGCGGACCTGGAACTGGCTGAGGTCGAACATATCCCGTTTGGTCATGGGAGCCGACTGCTCGCCGTGAGCTGACACACACACGAACAGACAGCACACCCAACATGACAGACAGCCGTGCTTCCCGTGGTGAGTGAATGCATCGCCTCAATCAGGTGCTGTGTGTCATTACTTGATGTCTTGAGATTTGCTTCAATCTGTTTCTTGAGCAGCTCCAGGAACCTGCCATGGTCCCCGCCCGGCCCTGACTGCTCCCGTCTGACGTTCATATTCATCCTCAACGGGTCCTCAACGCACTGACTCATCAATTGATTGATTCATTGACACAAACACCCGCACCAATCACAAGCAAACAGCCAAGCAAACAAAGTGAATGAAGCAATCTCTACTGTTGTCACGTGCCCATCACCCTGGACGCCTGTTTCATCTGTGTGTGAGGGAGTGCATACCTTTGACTGTCTGCCGGTGAGCAAAAGCCTTCTCGGTATCGACGCGGTGTCGTCGATCACGACACCCTGTAGGTGTAGGTCTGTGAAGAAGGTGTCCGTTGCGAAAGTGACGGCGACAGCCCAACTGCGAGCTGAGAAAATTGGGTCCGTTGTCTCAAGTCATTCAGGCGTCTACCGCATGGTTGCAGCATTTTGTAGTCAATCAAATGACGCCAGACACGACTCCTCGCCCATCGGCGCTTCAACTGCCCGACCCGCGTCCCGATGGAGCGGACGAGCAAGACGCTGTTTTGTCGGCCACAACCATCGTGTCGTCGGCATGGAAGCAGCAAAACAATGAAGACACCAGCCCTACCCACTCACAGGCCTCCTCCTCAGCCACATCCTCTGACCACACCACAGTAGGAGGGCAGCAGTCCAACACACTGAAGCCGCCGGAGCAGCCAAGACCACTTGGGCGATTCTTTAAGGTCAGCACAAACGATGGTTGATTGGTCGCGACTCATTTTGTGATGGCCGGTGGTTGTGGTTGCTGCAGAGTCAGAAGGATCTTGCGGAGCGTGTGCCGAAGCTCATCACCCGGTCTGGGAAGCTCCTGCGTCGGTTTCTGGACAAGGATGCGGCGGCCGCTGCTGCTGGTGTTGGTGGCAAGTGGGACTACCCTCTGGAAGAAATCGCACTGAGACGACAGATCAGCTTCAGCTATGAGGGCGTCGTCACCAAAGTCATCAGCAGGTGAGAGCGAGGAGATGCATGCGGGCGGGAAGAGATGAGCGGCCGACGCTTGTGTATCTATGGATGTTGTATCAGGGTCGTGAAGGCGGCCAAGACTGAGGAGTTTGTGCGTCACTTGTCGATCTGCCAGCGGAAGGCACGAGGCTTCCCTGGCTTCGCCGGTGAGTCAGGAAAGACACGCACGCATCGACGAGGTCCTTAACTCCTCTCTCTCGCACCTCGTATGTTGGTTCTGTGCAAAGCAGGGTTCACTGTGATCGTTCCCCAGCGGAAAGGGTTGCACGAGTTCGTCATCATCGTCAAGTTCCACGGACTCAGCAACCTCAAACGGTATGCAAGCATACACGCAGAGATGGATGAGATGCAGGCACAGCAAACAGCATACCCATGTGTGGTGTGTCGTGTTGATGCGTCAGTTGGGAGCAGAGCGAGGAGCTGTCGTCGTTCATGTCACGTGTGAACCACCTCTGCGACCGCGTGGCTGTGGACATCACCAAGGCGCACGACGACTGGATCGTCTTCCCGCCGTTCCAACCCAAGAGCACACCCAGGTACACAGGCAGACGATAGACAAAACCCAAAAGTACTCCACTGATCCTTTCTGATTGTCAGGTGGAAGACGGTGCTTGCTCTGTTCATCGGATGGTTTCCAATTGTGTGGCTCTTCACGGAGACCCTGGGTGTGTTTCTGGCCGAGCAGGGCACCCACTCCGCTCTCAGCACGGCCATCATCCTGCCAATCGAGATGATCGTCATCGCCTACACCATCATGCCCGTCGTCTCGTGGCTGCTCTGGCGGTGGCTACACCCAGGCAAACAGCCACCCAAATACCCGCCCTTCGGGTGGTGATACGTAATCAATGAATGACGCGCGTGCCAGGCGTGTGTATGGGGCTGGCTGATCGATTCCATGTGGATTTGGCTGCTTTTGTACGCGTGTGTATGTATTGTGTTGTCCTGCGTGGCTGTCCGTTGGTGCAATGCATGTTCGTGCAGTGCTCATGCATGGGCACACCGTGCTCGACTGACTGTGCTGTCCGTCTACACATTTGCTCTGTGTATGCGTATGGAGTGACCTGCCCGCGTGCCTGCTTGCCCACCCAGCTGCCCGCCTTCCAGCTTGTCTATCTGCGTGCAATCCTCGACCGATTCATGCCTATGAATGCGTGTACGTCTGACGTACGTGTAAGGATGGGCTGGGGGGAGGGAGGCTGGCTGGCTCGCTCGGTGTGGTTGTTCCATATCCGTTGTGTACATACTAACCATGGCTTGGCTGCCCGTCTTGTCGATCGTTTGTTTGTCATGCATCGGTCTTCGGTGATTGATGCGCTTTTTCTTGCGTGTGTAGGTAGCGGAAGAGTCTTATAGTCAACAGCCAATCGTGGACGCACCACGACCCACAGCCAGCCAGCCGGCAGGGCAAAGCACGGACACCAAACGTGCCAGCCGTGTGTACAGACAGAACATGACTTTTCGTGACGATGAGAGAGAGGGGGGGCGTTTGGCTGCCGTCCTGCAGACAGGACGGGTGGGGGAATTGGCCCGTTGCAACGCATCGCCGCGTTTTTGATTGAATGAGGGGTTGGATGGGGTGTGCTGTTGTGTCAACGTTGTGTTGTTTTGACAGGGTGGGGATGGACGGGGGAAAGGGTTTTCTGACATTTTGAAGGGGGTGGGGCAAGGGAGCCTTTGACTCCCTTGTTTCTCGACGCCGATGCTGTTGCACTGGCCCTGCTGCCATTCATGTGCATGCCTAACGCTCCCTCTCTGTTTGCTCCGTGGTCTTTTTCCCACCTTGTTACCCAGTATCCGATCTCTATAGCTGGCTGGCTGGCTGGCTTGTTGATTGGCTATCCTCCTGATCACTTCTTTTTTGCTGTGCCGAAGTTACATACACTCACAGACAGACACACTCAAAGATATGTACTCACACGAGTGTGTCATGCATACGCGATGCCCTCGGTCGCTGTGTTGTGCGTCGACAGACGACTTGGCTGAGTACGTTAATGCACAGTCGCGCGGGGGAGCTCGATTCCCAGATACCGTCCCTCGCTCTTTTTTTCTTCTGTAGTTGCGTCACAGAGAGAGACTAGGCCGCGCGACGATCCATAGATATCGATCGTATGTGGACTGACTGAATTCACTGGCGGGCCGCGTTGTGGCCGGGGAGGGAGACAGACGAAGAGATAGAGTGCGAGGCATGGATGCACACATGGCGAGACAGACACACAGACCCACCCACGGGGCCACAAAGTGAGGCGCTGTGTCTATGGTGTCTGTGTGCTCTCGCCCGCTACTATGGTTCAGTTAACACGTGCCTTTGGTTGGCTCTCTTCGTAGGGTTGCGGGTGCGGGGGTGAGTGTGGGGAATGTGGGGAAGGGGGGGCGCCTGTGAGGGAGGGAGGAATGGGGAGGACTCGTCGACCCTTTGAGCACTTTGAGGTGCGCTCGTGCGTGCGTGTGGATGCGTTTTGAGCAGTGAATGGTCGACCCGACCTGTTGCGTCCTCACGACGGACGGACACGTCGGTGGACATTCATTCAGTTCTTTTAAAGGGCTGTGTGGGGTGGTCGCTCGGGAACCAGCACGCGCGCGCACACACATGTGGCACCCAGACGTTTTCCTCACATCCATCCGCCGTCTTGTCGATATCTTTATGTACAGTGACTGTCTTGGAGAGAGAGACGTCCCTGTGCTGATCGATGGCTTGTTCTTGTCGCGATGCCTGAAAGTGCATGACCGTGTTGTGTCGACAGGGTGAGTAGTTCGTCTCGCCAACACTCCCTGTCTGCGATTGAACGGTGCACTAGTATCGTGTCTACGGCTTTGACGTCTTCTGCTGAGGGTTCTTGGTAGATTCCTTGAGTCATCTGCTGGGATGCCAACGCCGGAGGCCAACAAAGCTGAGACAGACAGACAGGCTAGCTCACCAGCTATGAGTACTCACGTGCAGTCAGTATGTCACCAAATGCTGGCCGATGATGGCTGGCTGCTTTCTATCTATCTACTGATACGTAGCGCAGGGCACCGCTCTCTTTGCTTACCTTTGTCACATTTTTCTCACGAGAACAACCACAGATGATTCCTCCGTCAGTGGAGTGTCTTGTCGTCTCGTCCATGTCTCGTGTTGAGTGAGGTCGGCCACGGTTTGCTGATGGAGAGGAACAGGCCTTTTGCTTCATCCGTTCACGCCCTTCTTTTCAAATTCGAGCATGTGTGGGTTTTAAACTAAGTATGGCTGACGCATTCACACCGTGCCATCAGGGTTCCAAAACCCTAAACCCTAAACCCTAAATTCTGCCACGGTGAACCCTAAACCCTAAATTCTGCCACGGTGATTTGGCTCTCATCGTTGTTGTGGCTTTCCTTCTCTCCAAAGCCTCTCTCTGTGTTGGTTCGTTTGTCGTGTTTATTGCAAGAGAGCCGCTGGAGCGATACAGATTCGCTTTGGCTTACCACCGTCACCAATTTTCATCCCTCGTCGAGTCGACGATGGCATCGGTAGAAATGGGTCAGGGGGCGGCGGCAGAGGACAGCATTGAGCGACGGCTGAGACTGGTGCGGCCGTTCAAGGTGAGTGAGCCCGCCTGCAGTGAGACTGACTGCAGTGAGGGCAGGAATGAGTGCATCAAGAAGGGAGGAATGAGTGCATCAACTGAGTGGCAGTCTGTGTGTTTGTCGTGTGTGTATTGTGTGAATGCAGACGTACGCTTCGTTCAAAGACATGTTGCGGCTCAATGGCTATCGGACGGACGGCGGCGCGGCGAGGGCGGCGGACTGCGGCGGGTCAGCAAGGACGACCGACACAATGACCAGACAGACAGTCAACGTTCGATTGCCATCCACACCTCTGTGTGTGTGTGTGTCATCAAACAGTATTGGGTCCATATACAAGGTTGAGAGTTCGGTCTTCAAGGGCTGCTACAGTGCAGTCAAAGTCATCCCCAGGGACTTCTACCGGTGAGTCAGTCAGTTAGTCACTCATTGGGCGGCTCACATCGACACGCCACACCGACTGGTCCTTGCACCTGTGTGTGTCGCACATCCTTGCCTGCAGCGACGCCAGCTCTCTGTTCACCGAGGAGGAGCTCAAGGCCAAGTACGCCGCCATTTTGGCAGTGCCGTGGGGCAGGACCACCTGCAGCGTCGCGGGCCTCTTCCAGGACGCACAGTCGTTCTATGTGCTCATGGAGTGGGTCAACGGCAAGGACATCCAGCGGCCCATTGGCGGAGAGAACGAGGCCACACACATCACCGCAGAGGCGCTCAGAGGGCTCAGGAAACTGCACAACGCCGGGGTACGGACGCACTCCACTGCACTGCACTCCACCCACACGCACCATGTGGTGGCTACCGCCCCTCTCTATGCCCTCTCTCTCGCTCTCTGTGTGTGTCGTGTGTGTGTGTGGGATGCCTTCAGATAACTCATGGCGACGTGTCGCTACGGAACATCATGACGGCCGGCCGGCGGGTGGTGCTCATCGACTTCGACAACGCACTCACGAGCCAGATGGGCAAGCCAAGATACCTCTGCGGCACGGCCGAGTTCCTAGTACGTCTGTCTGTCTGACCACACCTCACTCACTCACTCACTCACTGCACTTGACTAAGTGTTGGTGTGGGTGGGCGCCTTCCCTTCTTGCATTAACCCTTCAGGCGCCGGAGTGCCTGACAGATTTGGACTACTCGCCAGCGAGCGACCTCTGGGCCATGGGCGTCGTCATGTGAGCCCACAACACTCACACCTAAACACACCATAGAGCGACAGACAGCTGGATGACCAGCTGAGCTGATTGGTGTCTGTGTCACTCTCTGTGTGTGTTGTGGTGTGGTCAGATACGCCATGCTGACCCGCCGCTTTCCGTTCCGCATCGACAGCCGCGGCAAGAGGGCCAAAGAGGCTCTCGCTCAGATGAGGCAGGTCAGTCAGTCCACCAAACTAGCCAGCCAGCCAGCCCTACGTCTGTGTGTGTACGTCTGTTGTGTGTGTTGTGTGTTGTGTTGTGTGCAGGGCGTCAAGTTCCGTCGCAGCGATGGTGTGTCCGAGGAGGCCAAGAGCCTCATCAGAGGACTCCTGGCGTACGACAAACGGGACCGTGTCGCCTCAGGTAACTTAACGAACGCACTTACACGCGCTGGTCAGGTCGGTGGCTGAGTGAGCTCATTAATTGATGTGATGTGTTCTGTCAGCCGATGTTGCGCTGAAGCATCCCTGGCTGTCGCCGCCCACCGACCCCTCAGAGCCCACCGCCGCCCAACCAAATGTTGCTCCATCTGACATGCCATCCGCCCCCAAACAGACGCCCATGGCCTCACCCTCGCCAGCCCACCCCGCCCCCCTCCCAACACCACTCAAGTGCTGTCCGTCATCGCCCGCACCGGAGTCGCCCCACAGCCACTCACCCAACGAGAAAGCCTCACCGAGGAGCACCGGCAGCCACACGAGCGACACAACCACGCACACACCGCCGCCCCGTCCGGCAGACAGACCCAGACAACACCAGGGCGCAGATGCAGACGACAGACGGCCGATGAGGGCGGGCAAGGGGCACACCGGCCGACACAGACAGAGGACACGTCAAGTGTGGCGGCCAAAGGGCACCTGACCGATCGAGCGACTCAGAACTGATTGCACGTACACAGAGACAGATAGACAGAGATGGGGACAGGGAGGGAGGGGAGGGACAGCTAGCTGCGGCTGTGCAGTGCAGTGCAGTGAGTGAGTGCATCCGGCCGGACAGCCACTTTCCTTGTTGTCGTTTCGAAGGGCGGCCTTTGAGTGAGCGAGCGGGTCTGACTGAGGTTGGCAGATCGATGAATGGATGGATGGATGGATGGCTGTCGCGACGGGCAGACAGGCAGGCAGGCCGGTTGGCGGCGGTGTGTACATATGTGATAGTGGTCCTCTGCCTGGCCTCACTGCAATGACTACATCCATTTGCATGTCCGTGTCCATACAGACTTGCTTACAGACTCTCTTGGTGTGTACGTGCCTGAATGAATGAATGAATGTGTGGATGAGGTTGACCGGCTCATGAATTGAGCGATATACACGGTTGATGGGCACTCATCCACACATTGAACTTTCGTTGACTGCATGGTACGCCTACTGCTTCGAGCATGTCTGTGGCTTTTAAGCTAAGTATGGCTGACGCGATTCACACCGTGCCGCGTGGGTGGACCGGCTCATGGGATTAGGGTGCCGAACCCTGAACTCTGAACCCTGATTCTCATCCCTAACCCCGTAGGGTTTGAGAGAGCAAGCTCGCATTCGGTCTCCGATCTCTCCGAGTTCGCAGGGGGGAGATGCGTTAGATCGGAGCGAGCGGTCTCGTCTCTACACAATCAGGTCTGTCACACACAGGCTGGCTTTTGCTCTTTTGCATCTTCCTACTTGTCCTTGTGCTGACATCTTTTTGATTGCTTTGATAGATATCTTTCCTCGCCTCCCTTCAGTTTCAGCGGCCGTGCTTCTCCCTCCCTCGAGTCCCTCCCTCTCCCTCGAGAAGAAAGCAAGCAAGATGGCCCCCTACTCGCCATTCAGCGATGACTACTGGACGCAAGGCAGCGGGTTTCGCACTGAGGAGTACTTTCGATTGCCGTGGCTGGGGTGCATCGCTCTCTATCTGCCGGTCATATTCTCGCTGCGGCACTGGATGCGGAATCGGGAGCCGCTGCCCATCAAGCCGTTCATCTGCGCATGGAACCTCGCCCTCTCATTCTTCTCCATCCTCGGCGTTGCCCTCGTGGTAAGTAAGACACACACGTGGGTGGGACACAGACATAGCAGGCGGGGCTCTGCATGGCCTCTCTGTCTGTTCTGTGTGCGTCTCCACACACAGCTTCTGGACGACTGGCAGCTGGTCTTCACGGCAGCCAAGCACGAAAAGGACTACAAGGTGAGCCGACAGCACCGACGGGGAGGACAATGGGATCTGTGTCCAACTGCTTTGTCTTCGGGTGCGTTGACTTCAGCCCACCACTCGTGCGATTTGTGTGTGGTTCGCGGTGAGCAAGCTCATTGAGTTCGGCGACACGGTGCTGCTGGCACTCAGGAAGCGACCCATCACTTTCCTGCACGCGTACCACCACGTCACCGTGGTATGGACGCACACATTTGACACACACACACAGGGAGAGGCTCTCTGTTGTCATACGGATGTGTGTGTGTGTGTGTGCGTGCGTGTGTGTGTTGTCCTCCCTCCCTCCCTCCCTTGCTTCATTCAGGCCCTGTATTGCTGGAGCGCAGTTCACCTGGGTGTCGCCTTCGCCCACCAGTTCGCCTTCATCAACCTCTGCGTCCACGGCGTCATGTACCTCTACTACGCCCTCACCGCACTCTTCGCCAAAAACAGGTGAGTCAGTCACCGAGCCCACCTACCCACGTGAGCACACCTGACTGACCTGTCTGCCTGCCGTACGTATCGATCTATCAGGGTTTTGAAGAAGCTGCGACCCTTCATCACTTCCGCCCAGCTCAGCCAGGTGAGGGAGACACACGAGGAAGGAAGGCACGGAAAGAGCAAGGCTTATGGAAAGTCGCCTGTGCTGTATCACTGTCGTGCAGATGTTTGTTGGTGTGGGCATCACGGTATCGGCCATGCTGCGTCCTGAGGCGACGGGCGACCCGGTCCACTACAACAACGCCCTGTGTGCCCTCCTCATGTACTTCTCGTACGCACTCCTCTTCGGACAGTTCTACGTCAAGAACTATGTTCCGGTGAGCGACAGACAGACAGACACAGACAGACACAGACAGACACAGACAGAGACGTGACTGACATCCGACCGACATGTGTGTGTGTGTGCCTGTCTGTCTGTCCATCCGCCCATTGATCAGAACATGCAGAAGAAGAGCGAGGTGCTCGTCGCTGAATTCGGGAGGGCCTTGAGGTCCCTCCTGGTCGGTGACAAGGGCAAGGGCAAGGGCAAGAGCGAAGACAAGATGGTCACAGGGGCGGACGGCGCCGCAGGGGGCGAGTCACCGCCCTCCTCACCCTCAGCTTCGCCCATCAGCAGGGGACTCCGCCACCTGCATGGACTGGCCAGGGCACGGCTTGGCCTGCGCGTGTCGGCGGGCATGGCCAACTGACTGGATCAAGCCAAGACGACCGACACCATCGCACACGCTTGACTAGGTGGGGGAGAGGGGGCCTGTGGCCTGCTGGGTGGATGGGTGAGTTGGTCGGTCGATCGGTCGATGGACTACGTACCGTACATAGATACATAGTCGGTCGGCCGATTGACGGACGCGGACGGCCTGTCCATCTAGTGGGTCGGGCCCCTCCCGCGGGTGGATGGGATATGGATGGATGGGTGGGTGGATGAGCGATGCGACAGACAGCCAGACAGACAGCCACACGGTCCTGCGCGTGGATATCAGTCAGATGGATGGAGTGAGGATAGACGAATCCCGGCATCCCTTCCCCTTTTTCTGCCTGCCTGCCTGCCTGCCTGCCAGACTGCCTGCCTCTTGTGTCCTCTCTCCTCTCCTTCCCTGCCTCCTCCCCTCCCCTACTTATTGATTGCTCGGACGACTGTGCTCGCTGGCTGGCCAGTTCTGTCGCTGGGTGTGAGTGTGTAAGTTTTGAAGGCCACAGGAATGACTAAGGTGTATAGTGTGTACCGTCCGTGTGCGCCTTCATACCCTTTTTGTGTCCCTGAAAGTACCGGCCTACCTACCTATGTGTGTATGTATGTGTGTGTGTACCAGCCAGCCTTCATGCCTTGAATGAATTCATGCCTTGAAACGTCTGCTGCCTGCTGCTTACTTGCCTGTCTGTCTGTCTGTCTGTCCTCGCACCTTCCGGGTCGTTGGTTGTTCGATGACTGAGGGAGTGAGTGGGTGAGTGCGATGAATCCATGACTGATCTGATCTACATATGTCGGTGTGTACACAGAGGGCCGGAGGTGGGGGTGTGGGGGGTGTATATGTGTGTGTTGGTGTGTGTGTGTGTACGGCTAGCTGAGCGGTGACTGCATCTCTTTGGGTCGCTGATTTTATAGAGTGTATATACCTACCTGACTCTCTGCTGGTTGGTGACGGATTGGATCAACTGAATGTATTGACTGTATGAGTGGAAAGAGAGATCATCGCGCTGTGCCCTGACTGACTCACACACTCACACACTCACCTGATGACTGCCTGCCTCTGTACAAGTATTTTTGTGTACGTGTGCATGCCATGCCGTCGGTGAGTGAGGGAGTGGGTGGGGTCGGGTCGGGGCAAGTGGGCCGAAGGGAGGGAGGGAGGGAGGGAGGGAGGGCCGGGTGAGTGGGGCGTGGGCACATTGCATACATACATGTGTTTCTGTTGGCTCTTGTGTTATGTCCATCACCAAACTATGGTGGTTTATGGGTGCACCTGATGTCATCCTTACTTTCTCTCTCTCTCTCTCTCTCTCTCTCTGTCTTTCTGTCTGTCTTGCGAGAGGCATACACACACAAACGTCAGGTAGGTTTTGCGTTTTTGGTGTCTGTCGGTAGTGAGGAGGCTGGAGGCTGCTGTTGTGTTATATTCGATGTGGCGCGCGCTACTGGAAGAACACGTAATTCGACGACGGGTGACAGTAGACCACTCGCCTGTCGTCATGACGTGTCCCACCGCGCCTGAGAGATAGAGTGCCCATCAGTCGATGATTCATTCCATGAGTTCAAGGATTGCATGTGATATTACTTTACTCGTCTATACGGCGACGTCGACGCGCGCGCGCCGCGTCTGCAGCAGATCAGATGATACTGATTCACATACACACTGATTCACATACACATACATACATAGATATATACTTACACGCCTACATACCTTACCAGCTGTGGCTGGCTGGTTGGTTGGTGGACTGGTTGGTCGGTGCATGGCTGGGTCATGCTGTGCTGTGCGACTGATCCTTGTTTTTCCGTGCGCACCACAACACCTTCATCTCTCTCTGATGGACGGACGGACCGGTGGCGCCAAGATTTCTGTTAATTTAATTGTTTCTGCGTTCCTTCCTACAGACAGACAGACAGACAGACGATGATGACTAAGGCTACATGGGGACATACACACACATACATATACACACACATACATATATACATATACATGCATGTACATGCATACCTGCATACGATGCGGGTGACAACCGAGGGATCGATTCGTTTTTCGGCTTTGTGTGCTGTGCATCCTATCCTATCCTGTCCTGCCTACCTGCCTGGCCCATCGCCTCGCATCCATGCACGCCTGCCTGCCTGCCTGCCTCCCCCCCCTCCCTCTTTCCCACAGACATACATACAAGTTAGTTGTGCACTGCAGTCCACTGCATAGACAAACACACATACAGCAGATCAGATCAGATATACACTGATATATGACGACAAAGCGAATAGGGCTGTCTGTCTGTCTTCCACCATATACGCGCGCAGAGCTACGCGTACCTGTCTGGCTGTACGCGTGGATGATATGATTGATACCCATTATGTGACTGACGACAAAGCAAAGTGGACGGACATCTATGCATGGGAGACAGCTCCACTCAATCAATCAATACTGTGTGTAGCCAACAGGGCACCTACAAAACACGAAGCTGTTTTGACATATTGACGTGTCTGTAGTAGTGTAAGCAACACAACACCGCTACTTACTTTCCTTTTCTCTTCCATACGATTGTGATCGAAACAGACGGATCTGCAGTAGACAGAGGAGGCAGGCTCATGTTTTAGCTCTGCCGACCTACAAAGGCGCTGAGCAGAGGCACTCTTGTGGGCGGGCGGACGAGGGGAGGGATGTGCGGCGGAATTGACGTTTATCATGTGTGTGTGCGTGTGTGTGTGTGTGTGTGTCGATGACCGAATGGGTGAACGTCCGAGACATGAGCCAGCTTTCTCAACGGTGCCTGCGTGAAGCATGAAGAAAAGTATGTTTGGGCAGATTGGATTGATGTGCGCCGATACGCATAGAAAAAGGATTCATTTGATCGTCGTCCCTTCCGCGCATGTACTGCACGTAATCCATCCATTCATCCGTCCGTCCGTCGGTCCAAACACAAGAGACGCCACACAGCTCATCCATCTACCTACCTACCTACCCAGCTGAGCTGACACGCAAGCATGCAGGCAAGAGACAGGGAGGGGAAGGGAAAGTAGGAGGAGGGAGAGATAGCTCGATAGCTCGATACACAAGTTCCACGAGACTACTCCTCTGTACAGTCAGTAGGGAGGGACTTGACAAAATCGAGTACATCCATCATTCATTCATTCACACAACCAAACCACACTCACTCACGTGTACGCGACTGTACATACTGTAACGTACGTACGGGTGTGTATCATGTCAGTGTATCATGTACGTAGAAACGATCCTTCAAGAGTAAAAAACAACCAACGCTGGTCCATCCCATCCGTCCCTCTACTGGTTGGTTGGTACATACCAGGTTAACTAACCAACGGACGGCACGGCACGGCACGGCACAGCCACAAAAGACCCACCAAAAAGACTTCCTCCCTCCCTCCCTCCCTCCCAGTCCAACTCGTGGGTGGGTGGGGGGTGGGTCGTTGAAAAAGGGAAAGAGCAGCCTGGGCACCAATCACCCCACACGCACACATGCACGCCACGCCCACGGCCGCCCCAGTGGTCACACAAACATCTGAGTGACCAGCAGTCGAAGAGATTTTCGCACCGCACCGCACAGCACCGCACCGCACCGCCGGGCAACCCACGCACCCCCCAATAAACCAGCCAGCCGTGCATGTCTGTTTGCAAGCGTGCAAACAGCCCAGCCAAAACAAGTCACCCACGGTTATGCACAAGAACAGGACACGCATCACGAGGTATCACACACACACACACCAGTCCAATGATCAATTACGCCGGCAGTGACACAGCGCCCTTGTTGTCTTGACCCTTGGCAGCCTGCCCCCGCGCCTCAGTCGGGGCCTGATTGGGCTGGCTATTGGTGCGGTTCCTGGCCTTGCTGATGGGGAGGAGGGAGAGGATGACCGGCAGGAAGACCAGCGCATGGAGGACGCCGCAGGCCACGACCAGTATCATCATGAGGCACCACGAGTCGTATGAGTATGAGCGTTGAACGATGAGGAAGGGCGTCAAGGCGAGAAAGGTGGACATGCCGCCGCTGAACACGGGGGCACCCATCAGCGCCATCGTCTCCACCATACGGTGGTTTGGTGTGCGCCCCACTGCCAGCGTGTAGGCGTGGCAGATGTGGGTGGTGAAGTCCACAGAGAACCCTGCACACACGAGACAGACAACCGGCAGGCCGCCATACATACAGTACAGACACGCCGTCGCTTCGTGTGCCGTATGGCACGGTGGCGTGATCACACACACTCACTACACTAACCGATGGAGACGACGAGGTTGATGGAGGTGATGAGATTCAGCGGCAGGTCGAACACAGTCATGAAGCCGAACACGCCCAGGTCGATGCTGATCAGCATGACCAGCACCAGGGCGCATGTGATGGCGCCGTGGAGGAGGAAGATGGAGACGAGGAGGACGCCCACGAGGGCGGCGGACAGCTGCACGAGGGTCTGTGGGACCAGGATCAGGTCGCTCTCGTAGTAGACGAAGGCGTCGGTGAAGGTGGCCACCGTGATGCCGTGGTCCCTCTTCACTCTGTCGCACTTATCGCGGATGCGCTGCATGAGGGGTGCGCCTCCCAGGGGCGGGTCGCTGTACGCCCGCATGAAGAACTTGGTCTTGTAGGCCTCCAACTCACCTACACACACACACACACAAAAGACGCATCATCAAGGTGCTGGCTCGGCTCGGCTGGGAGGGAGGCTGCCACGTTAGCTTGTGCGCGTACCGTCATCGTTGAAGTTGAAGTCGGTTTTGAAGAGCTTGAAGGGCGTGCTGGTGATCATGGTCCTGTTCATCCACTGACGCAACCTGAACAGAACAGACAAACCGCATACACACACACACACACACACTCGGTGACATCAGATGAAGTAGGAGAAATTTGCTGTTGCCTGTGTATCTGTCTCACTTACTTGTCAGAGAATGCCTTGGGGTCATTCTCCATTTCGTTGAGCTCCTGCAGGAGCTCTGGGGTGCGACTGTAGAACTCGTAGAATCTATAGAGGCCGCTTTGTGTTTCAGGGTGGACGCCCTCCACCCGCGTCAGCTCGTCCTCGAACTCCATGAAGGCCTCCCGAGTGGCCTTGGTCCACCAATGCTGCTTCTCCGAGTACAGCAACACCCCAGGAAGGTTGAACCCTCCGAAGGCCTCGTCGACACCGCCGAGGAAGTCGATGAAGTAAGAGCCGTACGGCGCCGTGTTCGATACCTCAAACTCCACACGCAACTTGGAGGCCGAGAACCCACACAAACCCACGTAGGTCAACCACAGCGCCACCACAAACACCTAAACACACAATACGTACAAACGCCGGCTGGCTGTGCGGCAGGTTGGTTTCGCTCTCTTCTCTCTCACGTACCTTGACGGCTGGGATGGTGAGCCACCTGCCCCAAAAGCGTCTGAAGTAGAGCCGCATCCACTTGCCGTGAAGGCCCCTGGGCTCCTCCACGTCCACAGATACGGGGCTGCTATCGGCGGGCTTGGCCAGCTGGACAGAGAAGAACCCGCTGCAGGGGGGACCGGCAGTCTTGGAGTCTGCCTCGCTCTCTTGGCGGGGCGCCTGCGCTTCCACATCGGGAGCATGATTGGCCTCGTGTGTCGCTGCACTGCCGGCTGCCGGTTGCCGCCTCTGCCGCCTCTGCCGCAGCTTCTGCTGGATGCGGTCCTCCTGCTGCAGCACCTGCAGGGCCACCAGCTCGTGGACGCCACTGGCCACGGCACTGATTTCAGTGACGGCCTCGGCGGCATCGGATGCCTCCTCTTCCTCTCTGATTGGCGTCAGCGTGGTCGTCTTGCCGGCCTCTTCCACGTCATAGTCTCCGCTTGGGCCAAGGTCAATGGTCTCGATGGTGGGGAAGGCGATGTCTCGGTCGCCCTCGGGTTGCGGCGAGAAGGCCTGTGTGGAGGCGGGAGGGGACACCTCGGGCTTGCTGCTGTCGCCGCTCATGATGTTGGTCGAGGGGGTGGCGTCGCCCTTGGCAGTGCCACCACGCCCCACCCCAAAGTAGCCTTTCAAGTATGAGGGGGGGCTGCAGGCCTCGCGGCGGGCGTCGAGGCAGAGGAAGGGGAGGAAGAACGTCAGGGCATAGATGTACACGAAGCCGAGGGCCACGGCAGTGAGGACGCAGAAATTGACCACAGCCGTATACCCAGTAGACGCACCAATGCCGAAGGCGATGACGTTGGCCAGGGTGGTGATCGTGATAGCCAAACCTGCACGTACACACAGCAACAGCACAGCACAGCACGGCGCGCACACCAATGAGTGGCCGCCGATGTGTATGGGCAAACGTGGTGCCGTGTGTGTGCGTGCGAGTGGGTCCACCCCCCCGTACCTGAGTCTTTCATGGTCCGTGCGCACTTCTTCATGGGGTCTGCCTCGATTTGGGAAGCGGGTGCGTATGCATTGAGGATGACGAGGAGGTCGTTGACGCCGATGCCCATGCACAGGTATGGGGTCACCTCCATCGTCACCACATGCTTGAACCCGGCACTGTACACGATACCGAAGCCCAGAAAGGATCCCAGGACCGCACTCACCAGGCCCATGATGGCGGGGACCAACCTGAACACAGACGATGGATGAGAGAGAGATGAACAGTTAGTTATACGGACGGACGGACAAGGTGAGCTAGCTGCACACACCGTCCGACCGTGTCACTGACTTACTTAGATTTGTGTCCGTTGCCGAATCCCGACAGATTGGCCACAACACAGTAGATGCCCACCACCAGACCACAGCACCCCATGCGGATGAGAAACTCCATCAGCGGATAGAAACTGTTGGCAAGCTCATCCTCTGCACATTCACACACACACACACACAGAAAGAAAGAAAGAAAGAAAGAAAGGAAGAAATCACCTTCGTCACGTCTGTGTCGCATCAAATCCACCCATCCTTACGTACCTGGTGTCCTCCGTGCGTAGCGAAGGAGCTCAATACCATGCTTGTCGCGGAACTCTGGGGTCCAGTCCATGACCTTGTGCAGGAAGGCCTTCTCCCACTGGAGAATAGCGGCTTTTGGTGCAGCATCAGGGGTCACTGCCCAGCGGAAGATGAATGAGCTGGCGCGGGTGGCCTTCTGCCGACCGTTGACGTCCTCGACAGTGATGTTGCCCATCAGGAAGGCGACAGGCCAGGGGAACAGGCCGCCGTGGCGGATGGAGGGGTGTCTGGGGTAGTTGAGAGGGGTGCCGTACCGGTCCTCGCTGTCCTCACCATACACCATGAACACCTGACCAATCGACGCCCACACAAACCACACCAGCAGAGCAGTGTGTGAGGGTGCCAGCCTATCGCTGTCTGGCCTGTGCGTGGCACAGCATCAGCTGTGTGTGCGTACAGTGGCCATGTCGCATTCGCCCGTCCCATCTCGGGCACAAATATCCTCGAATCTCCAGCTCCTGCCGTCCACTTTCACTGTGACATTGGCAATGTCGTCTGTGAGCGCCCTGAGCTCATCCAGGTGCTCCTTGGTCAGCAGGTTGTCATCAGGATCCACCGCCGACGCCACGACGGCCGCATCCCGGGGCCACTGACCAAAATGCTTCTCGTACAACTCCCTGTCACGTCACACAACCAACCATCAGAAACAAGCAAGCAAGCATGTCTGACGGATGCCATGAACCGTCGGAGGGTTGATTGGCTCACCTTGCTTTGACCGCCTTGCTGTCTGGCATAGCAAAGTTGATCTCGGTGTCGAATTCCTTCTGACGGAAGAAGGTGAGGGTCCCCACAGACAGCGACAGCAGCAGAGTCACCCAGATGAACTTCCATGGGTGCCGGTAGACGAAGCACGTGTAGTTGTAAAAGAACCTCTCGATGCGCCCCACAAAACGACCCTTCCACGTCGCGAACATCGGGACTGACAGTAATGGCGGATGAGGCAGGCAAGCAGGGACAAGATCTTGCGACGAGGTGGTCAGCTTGCGACAAGAGGTGCTGTCAGTCACGCCAGCCACGCCGTTGCGATGCGATGATGGGATGGCCGCAGTCACTGACGATATTCTGTCGCCTTGAAGGGAAGCCGGATGATTAAACTGCCTCGGGGAAAGTATCAACAGCAGCTGCTAGGGTGGTGGGCGTGGCAGGAGGCAAGACACCCGGGGAGAGCTCGGAGAGAGACCGCTCGCAACTCGGATCGCTCTGTCTGCGAGCTAGAGAGAGAGCTCTCCCCAACTGTCCATTCGTTTTTTCTCTCTCTGTGTGTCTTTGGTGGGGTTGCTGCAATCTGACTGGCAACTGTGTGCTTGCGCTTGACTGCTCTCTGTCCGAGATCTATCCGTGCGAGGAGATCTGATCTGCTGTGCCCAGCGGCATCTGTATAGGAAAGGCCCTGCCCCTCACTGCCTGCCTGCGTGTCTGTGTCTTGTCGTCTCGTCTGCTTGTCTAACTGTGTCGGCATTCAACCTGCCACCCCTTTATCGCAGCTATCGCATCCTCGTCCCGTCTTGTCGATATATACGAGCCCACCACATCTGCCCATTACTCTCCCGCTGAAACCATGCCGCTCGGCTACGCTGTTGATAATGTTCCTGCTCCGGCCGTGGACACCAAGACCCCCAACTTGGAGATGGAGGACAACAACGAGGCGTTTGCCACGCCACGTGGTACGCAGCACACCACAGCGCACGGACAGACAGACAGACAGACAGACAGACAGACAAAGGCATCGATGATCGATCACTGATTGTCTCGTCTCCTTGTGTGTGATCATGGCTATGGGTGGCCAGGTTACGCCAGGGAGTCCGGCCTGACGTCTCCCTTTCCCGACCTGGAGGGTCTCCGCTCCGTGTACGGTGACCATCCTTTCGCCAACATGATGTTCCAGCACGCGAGTGACTTCCCGGACCTGATGTGCGTCACGTGGCTGGACGGGTCGGGCGAGAAGGTGACGGAGTTGACCTTCGGCCAAGTCAAGGACAAGGTGCTCAACATGTGTGCATACTTCAAAGCTGACCTGGCACTCGAGGCCGGCGACCGCGTCATCCTCTGCTACACACCCGGTAAGTGAGTAAACAAGCCACCCACCCGGCCCAGCCAGTCAGCGACCACAGGCGCTCACTAAGCGGAGAGAGGGCGGGCTGGTTGACAGGCCCCAATCTTTTTTGTGTGTGTCGCGTCTTGTGTGTAGGTCTCGACTTCATAACGGCGTTCCTGGGCTGTGTCGTGTCGGGAATTGTGGCAGTGCCCGTGGTATGTACCTGTACAGTGACACACACAGACCATGGAACCAACCGACACAATCTTCCTCTCCTTCTCCCCTGCCTCTGTGTGCGTGTGTGTGTCAGTACCCACCCGACCCCAACAAACTGTCAACGGATATCCCCAGGCTATGCGACATCGCCCAGAGCTCCCAGGCCAAGTTCGTTCTCACCAACCAGTAAGACACAACCACACCCGGCCCACACACTCTTCCTTCCTCTGACCTGATTGTGACCTTCCTGCCGGTCCATGTGTCACTGTCATATATGTGTCTGTTTGTGTGCCTTGGCTTGGATCCGACCGATCCACCAGACTGTACAGGCGTGTTGCGACGATGATAATCAACCTGCCTGCCCGTGCGCATGACAGTCGGTGGAGCTCCCTCACGTGGATCCCTACCGACAACGTCAAAAACATGGGCGCCGCTGCCCAAGGGTTTGTGCCGGCCGCCGTGACCCTCGAGTCACTCGCCTTCCTCCAATTCACATCTGGTTGGTACACTCACCTCACACACATCGACCGAAAGAACAGACAGACAGAGAGAGAGACAGACGGACATGCTATGCTCACCATACCATATTGCTTCACTCCTTTCTGTCTGTCTGTCTGTCTGTCTGCCTGCAGGGTCTACTGGGCAGCCGAAAGGAGTGATGGTGACTCACGGCTGTTTGCTGCACAACGCCCACCTGTGTCTGCAAGTGTTTGGCGCGGACACCAAGCTCGACGATCCAGATGCACCCAACGAGTGCCTCACCAACATGCCGCTGCACCACTTCCCGGAGTTCATCAAGCGGCGGAAGGCACTGACCCTCCAAAAGAGAGGCTATCACCTCAGCTGCTTCTCATGGCTCCCCGTCTACCACGACATGGGTCAGTCAGTGGCCGGCCGAGCCAGCCACGGGGCTAGGCTACCACCACATTATCACATTGACGTGTCTGTCTGATGGGTCTGTTGAATGTCTGTCTGTCTGTCTGTCTGTCTGTGTGCAGGTCTGGTCGGCTTCTTCTGTGCTCCCTTCCTCACCGGCTTCTCCACCTATCTGATGTCTCCCCTCGACTTCATCAGGCGACCCCACCTGTGGCTACAGGGCGTGTCACGCTTCAAGTGCGGTGCGACAGGCGCTCCCAATTTCGGCTTCGAGCTCGTCACTCGAGCATTCGACAAGCCCGAGCTCAAGGAGGTCTTCGACCAACTCGACCTCAGCGGCGTTGCGGGCTTCTGCTGCGGTGCCGAACCCATCAGAGCGTCGACCGTCAACAAGTTTGTCAAGGTAAGGTAGGCGGGTTGTCTTATCACCTCTCACGCGAGATCGTGTAACATACATTTCTGGCTGTGGTTTCGTGTGTGTGTCAGAAATTTGCGTCGAAAGGAGTGACGCCGAATCTGTTTGTGCCGGCTTACGGCATGGCGGAGAACACACTGTTCATCTCCGGCCGTCGAGGCTATGACTACAATCCACTAACTATCACCGTCGACGCAAACAAGCTCAGAACTGAGGTGGCTTTCAAAACAAACAGACACATGAGCCACCTGACCACCTGTGTTGTGTGTCTGTTGGTGTTGTCAGGGTGTGGTTGAGCTGCTGGAGGGTGAGATTCCGCCCTCGGTGACATCGGCTCAGTTCGTCGGCTGCGGCGGCCCTCCCCCAGGTGTAGAGGTCAGAATCGTGGACCCTGAGACACTCAGGGAGGTGCCGCCCGGCCGCAGAGGGGAGATCTGGTGCCGAAGCGCAAGCACCGCCGGGGGCTACTTCAACCTGCCCGAGAAGACCGCCGAGGCCTTCCGCGGCCAGTGCACCTACCTCAACGGCGAGCTCTCCAAGCCGCACTACCTGCGCACAGGCGACAGCGGCTTCTTTCACCAGGGAGAGATCTTCGTCGCAGGAAGGATCAAGGACATGATCATTGTCCGCGGCCGCAACTTGTTTCCGCAAGATGTAAGCAAATGTGTCAGTCAGGGTGACGAATGTGTGCACATTTGTTGTGTGTGTCTATCAGATCGAGGAGGTGGTTGAAGAAGTGGCCGAAGTCCGCAAGGGCTGCAGCGTCGCCTTCGCTTTGGATGTCGACGACACGGAGCAGCTGGCCCTGTGCGTCGAGATCAAGCAGCAGCAGTCGGCCAGCCTCCTCGCCTGGCTCACTGGAGGCGGCCAAGAGAAGCCCGACTACCACAGCAAGGCCAAGGAAATTGCCAAGGTCGTCTCACAGCGCATCGGCATTCCCGTCTATCGCATCTGGCTTGTCAAGCCTCGCAGTGTCCGAAAGGTACGTGCAGTGCAACACACATACACCAACCAACACAGCGCAGTCTGTATCTGATGCACTGAGTGATCCCACAATGGGTGTGTGTGGTGTGGTGTGGTGTGGTTTTTCGCCTTCAGACGACTAGTGGCAAGGTGCGCCGGTCCACCACACGCGACCTCCTGCTGGACGGCAAGGTCTCGACTGTACTGCACGACGAGATCCTCATCAAGGAGGTCAACGACTCCGCGAGCGCGTCCACAGCCTCCCCCAAGAGCTTGTCGGCAGCCGCACCCCCCAGTCCCGATGTGACGCCCATTCCCCCGCGCAACCTGTCGCCCGCCCCATCGCCGTCCCTCCTCCGCCCCCCGTCCGTGACCAACACCCCCTCCTCGTGCGTCGTCGAGGCCATGGGGGCCGCCCTGGACACACCCATGCCAGCCACCATCACCCTCACCCCCCCACGCGATGGCGCAGTGCGGCAGGAGCAGCGCAAGGGCGTCGACAAGGTCATCATCGAGAATGCCGTCAGGATCTTCGCTGTCGAGGAGAGCGTCGTCGACTTCCATGCGCCCATCCAGGAGCTCGGCGTGAGCAGCATCAAGGCCGTCGAGTTTGCCGAGGCAGTCTCGAAGGCCCTGGGGCTCAACATCGATGTGACCATCCTCTTCAGCCACCAGACACTTGACCAAAGTAAGCACACACACACACAGACAGAGAGAGAGAGAGAGACGAAAGTGCAAGGTTGTACTGGTAGTTATCCCTCGTCTCTTCGTCTGTCTGTCTGTCTGTTTGTCTGTCTGTGTGTCTCAGTTGCTGATTTCCTGGTTGAGGAGCTGGAGGGCAGGACCGAGTGCGTCTCGCCGACCCCATCGGTGGATGTCCTCAGCAACACGGCCGTCTCCGACGCCACCGGGCACATCGCCATCATCGGCGCCGCGTGCCGCCTGCCCGGCGGCATCTCGTCACTGGCACAGCTGTGGGACGCCGTCAGCAGTGGCAAGGATGCCATTGAGCAGATCCCCGCCAGCCGGTGGGACATCGATGAGTTCTACCACCCCAATCCAGACGCAGAGGCCCGCATGTACGTGCGAGAGGGCGGCTTCATCAAGAACGCAGAGATGTTCGACAACGGGTTCTTCCGCGTGTCGGACGTGGAGGCCAAGACGATGGACCCGCAGCAGCGCATCCTGCTCGAGGTTTGTTACGAGTCGCTCAACTCTGCTGGCCTTGAGAAGAAGGCCCTCATGCAGAAGCCCGTCGGTGTGTTCGTCGGGTGCTGCTCGTTCGAGTGGTCGTCGATCCAAGCCAAGATGGGTGCGGGTGCCTTCAGCTCCTACACGGCCACCAGTGCGGCCCCCTCCATCCTCGCCAACCGGATCAGCTACATCCTCGGCATCCACGGCCCCTCCATGACCGTCGACACGGCCTGCTCGTCCTCCCTTGTCGCCATCGACTCGGCCGCCTCAACGCTCCGCAAGGATCCCAACGGCTGCAAGACCGCCGTCGCAGCGGCCATCAACACGATGCTCAACCCACACACGACAATCGCCCTCTGCAAGGCCCGCTTCATGGCACCTGACGCCAGATGCAAGACATTCGACGCAGCGGCCAACGGATACGTGCGCGGCGAGGGGGCGGGAGCGATCGTGCTGAAGCGCCTTGACGACATGGATTCCAAGGAGCGGGGCAGGCTGGTGCTGGCGATGCTTCGAGGGGCGTGCGTCAACCACGGTGGCCGTGCGGTGACGCTGACAGCGCCCAATGGCATCGCCCAGCAGAACGTGATCAAGGGGGCCCTCAAGAGTGCTGGCCTGCAGCCCAATGATGTGGACTTCCTCGAGGCGCACGGCACGGGCACTGCACTTGGGGATCCCATCGAGGTCGCCGCCCTCAAGGCCGTCTTCGCCAAGAGCCGTCGTGACGCTGGCGTATCGCCATTGGCCATCGGGGCTGTCAAGACGCACATCGGGCATCTTGAAGGAGCAGCAGGTGAGGGATACACAAGGCAGGCCTTGGATGGAGTCACCCACCTTTGCATGCCCACCACACTCATGTCGGTCTCTCTCTCCTGTGTCATTCACAACTCAATAATCAGGCATGGCTGGTGTGTTGAAGACCATCTGCTGCCTCCAGATGCAGCGCGTGCCGCCCAACCTGCACCTCAAGACCCTCAACCCCAACATCAACACAGAGGGCTTCCCAGTCGTCTTCCCCTCGGCCGCAGACGGCTTCCAGCTCACTCGCAAGAACGGGGGCGCACTCGTGGCAGGCGTCAGCTCCTTCGGCTTCGGGGGCACCAACGCACACGTCATCCTTTCCTCGCCATTCGACGCCCCCGAGGAGGACACCGCAGCGGCCCAAGAAAACAAGGAGACCCGCCCCCGCGTCGCCTTCCTCTTCACGGGCCAGGGCTCCCAGTACGTCGGGATGGGCAAGGACCTTTACGAGACGGACGAGGTCTTCCGCGCCAACCTGGATCGGTGTGCGGCGCTGGTCGACCCCCATCTCCCCCGATCGATGCTCGGGCTCATCTACCCCCAGACCCACGACGAGGCGACCAAGGCTGAGCTGCAGGGTCTCTTGAGCCAGGCGCGCTACCAACAGCCCATCCTCTTCTCTCTCGGCTACTCCCTCGCCCAGTCCCTCATCAAGCGCGGAGTGTCGCCCGACATGGTGCTCGGCCACTCTCTCGGCGAATACGTCGCGGCGACCATTGCTGGCGTCAAGTCGCTGGAGGTGGGGCTCGCCCTGGTCGTGGCCCGTGCTCGCCTGATGCAGGACACACCGTCAGAGGATGGTGTCATGGCAGCACTGCTGCCGGTGTGGGCATGGTGGCAGTCGCTTCAACGACTAGTGTGGTGCGAAGGCGAAGCCCGCAGGGCCGAGCCAGGAACGACCAGCCAGAAATTGACTCAAATGCGGAGGGCCGAAGGTGCCCGAAGCGCCGACGGTAGTGATGTTGGACTGGTAGTGCTGGTTCTGCTGCACCTCGAGCTTGTTGAAGCGGCCCCTCAGCTCCTCACACTGCTCCATCTTCTTCTTCAGGTCGGCTATGATGATGGAGTTCTGCAGCGTGCTCATTGAGAAGGACACGCTGGGGCGGGCTTGTGAATGGTCCGAAGGCGGGGACGGGCTCATCTGCTCCACACGACGCTTCTTGGAATCACCTGCAGAAATCGGAACACACGTAGTCATAACACAAACCGGTATGGGCCCATTGTCTGCCCCGCTCACCACGGGTCATGATGTGCCCACATGGATCTTCCGCGATGGGCGACAGAGCGCTATTGCCCATCCCCGGCTGGCCCACAGGTGGTCCGAATCCCGTGGCGCCGTCATAGGGGCTGTCCGATGGCCGATGGTGGCCGACGGGATCGAAGTCATCCATGCCTCCCCCTTCCCCTCCGCCAAGGCCATGTCTGTCGAGCTCGTCACCCGACCCCATGAGCGAGTCATCGTCGCCGCCCAGCAGAGGGGGCAGGTCGCTCTCACCAGGGTGGTACGGCAGCTGTGGCCGACGCTGCTGATGCATAGCGCCATACAGGTGGTCACAGGTTGACGGCTGCTGGCTCAGGTAGTCCATCGGAGCGGCGGCAGCGGCAGCGGGCATCAAGCGGTGATGGGCGAGGACGAGGTGGTCATGGGCATCAAGCAACTGAAGAACGGCAAGTCGTCATTCGAAAGCCTGGCCATCGCAGGTGTCAATGCTCCCGAGAGGGTGGTGGTGGCGGGCAAGAGAGATGAGGTGTCGGCGCTTCTGGAGCTGCTCAAGATTGACAAGGATAGGCACAGGATGCTGCCCGTGTCCCACGCCTACCACTCGCCCCTGATGAACGCGACGGTGCCTCTCTTCCGCGACGCCATCGTCAACGAGCTCGCCAAGGCCCCTCTGCAGTCGCCCTCCATCCCCCTAATTTCCACCGTCACGGGCAGGACAGCATCGGCTGGACAGCTGACATCGCCCGACTACTGGGCTCAGCACATCACCAAGACTGTCAGGTTCATGGACTCCGTCAACAGCGCCATCAAGGCAGCCGACGGCAGCCCGGGTGTGGTCTTCATTGAGGTGGGGCCGAAGCCGACGCTCATCAAGATAGCTCGCAACTTCATCAAGGAGCGTGAGAGCGGGGTCACCGTGCTGGCGGCCATGGATGACAAGACGCGGGATGCTTCGGGCCTCCTCGACTCGGTCGTCAAGGCCGTCAAGGAGTGGAAGCCGGCAGAGGAGCGGTCATCGGATAGCTATCCATCGATTCATAACCTAGTCCTAGACGTGAGAGGTATGCAATGCAGTGCAGGAGACGACTCTGGCTGGCTCATCTTGTGTGTGCATTGCTGCCGTGTGTCTGTTGTCACTTAGTGCCCGATGATTTGGAGGCCTCTGCGGCTGCCGAGCTCATCCGCGACGGCACCTCATCCATTGTGGATGGTGTGCGGGGCCTGGAGCGTTTGAGGCTAACCGTGTGGGGCGGCGCCGCTCAGAAGTGGCTCTTATCTGTGACCATTGCATCAAGGGACAGTGAGCTGGAGGTGACCAATGCTCTTGGCGTTACTGTGGCACGACTGCTGGCAGAGAAGATGCCCGGCAACGTCAAAGAGGTAAAGTTCGAGACAGCAGTGAGTCCACAAGAAAGGAGGAGCGTTCTGAAAGGCCTGGGCGTGGAGAGGGAGGTGGGCACTGTCACTGTCGGTGACTGGTGCTGGGATAGTCTGGGGTGGGGTGGTGAGGTTAGTCTCGCTGAGGTTCCCTTTGACGGCTGGGCATCGGGTAGTTTCCCATCGATCGACAACATAGACATGGGCTTAAGAGGTACGCCATGTATGCAATACAGCGGAATCGAGGATTCTGGCTGGCCCATCTTGAGTGTGTACTGCTGCCGTATGTGTGTGTGTGTGTGTGTGTGTGTGTGGTCACTCAGTGCACAACAACTTGGACCCAAC